CTGGTCCAATATACTGTAACTGTGTCCATATCAAATGAAAAATATTAGTATTTTAGTACTAATTTATATGCATATTAAATATAATATAATATTATAATGTCTTTTCTAAATGCATTTTAAGTGTGTTTTAATGAATGATTTTGAAATGTGCTGTGTTGAAAAACCAATCTCCGTTCAATTTGAACAGACAATAAAGTTCAATTCTATTCTATACATTTAGTATTCACAGCTAAACAGAACTGTTTTTAACCTGGATTTGAAGATTTTGAAAATAAATAAATACATGAATAAATAAATGCAAATACATACATATTCTCTCTTAATGATGACACCCTTTATATAGACAAATAATAGAAATCCAATGTTCACATCAAAACAATGTGCGGACAAAGTGTGTGTGATAGTTTTCATGTGTTAGCCTGTTCCCGGAGCATCCTCCCACATGCACAGCCCTCCCTGGCCCTCCCCACAGACCAGGCCAGCTCATTTCACACTCTTACTTCATAGCAGTATATGCACTGCAGGCTCTGTTTGATGCAGGCAGCTAAACTCAAGAGCCTTCTGTGTTAATGTCTGCGCTGCTAGCACACAGTGTGATGCTGATATTCTTAGATCACCCCTCTCTGACTCAAATCTTTCTCTTTCAGCTCAGAGCACAACTTATCCACTGACAAGCCTGCACTGTACCGTATCAGTTTCCTCCTACCGGCCTTCAGGATATACACAGAAATGATATTGGACCCAAAAGAATGTGTCGACTTCTGTGATATTCTGCCTGTTTTAAAACTCAACAAATATATGACAAACAAAGAATCTGTAGTAAAGTGTATTGTTAAGTACAACAATAGTGCTAAATGTGTTAACAGTGAATGTTTGGGGGTAAAAGGAAACATGTAAGACTTGAGCCTCACTAGTAAACATTCATTAGCTTTAGCAGGATATACAGACAGTGTTCTTAACTTATTTAACCAGTAAGAGCAATACAACAGCAAATCCATTCTTTTCAAATTTATTTGATCTGAAATCAAAATGGACAGTTATTGTTGAATAACCTTGCATAGGTTGTAGACTATGCCTCACCAAAGAATTGCAAACCAGAACAGAACTAAACCAAGTGTTGTAAGTGACCTGAACTGGGCCTTCACAAAAATGTAACTTTTCAAGCAACATGGCTTTGGCAAAATTGAAACAGAGACACTAAAAACATAGAAACTTGAAAACAGACCTATCCTAAAGTCTTGAGAGACAAAAGAGTTATTGATTTTTACCAGTTGAGTTGAAACATGTCACCAGCATTAGTTATGATTTTCATGCATTTCTCACTTAATTTACCATGCAGGTAGACTTCACTGTGATATCAATAAAAACAATTGCTTAGTTTCAATATATTTTGACATGACAGTCTAATCTATAAACTGCATTTAACTTAGTAATTTAAAAAATGTAATATTAGTAAAGTCTTTCTACACAGAAAACTTTCTTTTGTCTGTTAAATTTGGCTGCAATGAAAATACTTGATTTGGTCCTGTTTCTCTGACTTGTTGTAACAAATAAACACAGAAAACTATCCCCATGGATAACTTCTCGTAACACACGGCATGCTTTTTGTGGAGCATCTTGCCATCCAGAATGATTAAAGGGATCTTTTTCATGACGTCATGATGACACCACAATGCAACGCTACTGAGAGGCGTTCAGATTATGTGGAGGAACAACTGTGTTCTGCTCTTTTTCTCAGATTTGCACATTGTTGTTTGTCTGTGGGCAGTGACGTGCTGATCGACTGTAGGAATGTAGTAGGAGCAGATATTACAATGAATGACCACGAGTAGCCAAATCTTTTGTAACAGTTACATTTGCAGGTTCTAGGTTTGTGCCAATTCATATAAAAAAGAGCTAACCCTGCATTGTCTTACCTTGAGATTGGCATTTGTTTGGAAACACGTCCAAAGCAACAAGGTTCTGGGCAGTGGTGTTGACTGTATAAACAGAGGTCAGACTTGCCTCTTTAACACATTCAAAGTTTTAAAATATATTGAGATTTAGTATCTTTTCAACATCAGCTGTAGAGTCATGTGAAGACAGTGCAAAGTTTGGCAGTTCTATTCTGATAGAATCTTTACATAAGAAACTACCTCCAATAGCTGTGCATTGCTGCCATGTGTCATCAATCATGCATGGTGTAAAGGAGTCCAGTTAAAAATGTAATGTTTGTGTTTCTGCAATGCATCTTTATGGCGGGACAATATGAGCTGCACTTGAGACACTCTTTGGGAGGCACTTCACTCAGTTCTTAAATGAGATAGGGTTCAAGGCACTAGGCAACTAATTTTAGTTGAAACAATGAAATCTGTTCTATTACAACTATTCTTCATAAAATATTTTTAAACAATGTTGGTCCCAATTTCTAGAATTATGATCCCATGCGCTTGACCGTCCAAATTTTGATAGAAAATAAAAGTTGGGAGTAATTATGTCTATTTAGCGTTTGATATTTTCTACAGCAGATTGAGCTCCATCATGCACCTGATCCATAATGAGGAGAGTCGCTGTTTGCCTTGCCCTCCACAACTGCAAGCATTTATCTACTGTCTTCATGCACTGAGTATACAACGCTTTAGCGACAGGGCCGTATCGCTTTGCTTTTGATCATGCCATCTTCTTTGACAAGTTTCCTTCAGAAGTTAACATTCAACACCTCAGTGCTAAAAATGAATAAATAAACCAGTGCACTTTTGGTGAAAACAAATCAGTGTGATCCAGGATGGGTAGCAGTGAGTCGAAGACATGAAATGAGGTGATGGCTTGTGCATGCCATTATAAGACAGGAGAGATCCTCCACATGCGCATTCCAAGCTTAATATAAAGGAGCTTTGCATTGCATCATCCTCCAGTGTGATGCAGCAGCAGTGCAGAATGAGTCTTCCACAAAGCCCAGTATTGGTCCGTTAAGGTGGCTGATCAGTGTCTCCTTTCAAATATTTACTGTTTTAAAAAATTAAAGCAGCATCCAAATAATGTCTCTGTTGGTTTGAAGGTTGATTGTGTCGCACATCATGTGCACAGTTGCACTATCAAATAGTGTCAAGCAAGTGGTGTTTTATAATTATTTTGTATAATCTCTAATTTGAATTTACAATCAATTTTAAAAATACATTTGCTTTTCAAAGCCTTAAAATTAAATTGTTTTGTTAAAATATTCACCTCAATTTCAACATTACAAGTGCCTTAAAAATGTCTTGCTTTACAAGCACCTTAGAAAAATCAAAGAAAGAATAACATTTATCATTGGAAAGTGTCCACTTATTGACTATTTATGTCTTGACTTAAGTCTTCTCTTTGAAGTAGTCTATTGCAATGCTATAGTTTTTAATAAGATGAAGAAAAGCTGCTAATATTTCTACATTATTTACAGTGGTGCCCAGTGCGCTCAGACATCAGTGAGCAGTTTACCCTTGCTCACACAGTTCTGGCTGGGAGCCATGCAGTTGGCAGTTCGGAGGTTGGCTTCCCTAAAGTTATCAATGCTGTTGTTCATATCCTCGTCTATCTCCATGTATTCAGACTTGCTGACCACAGACGAGCTGCGGCGGCTGGAGTTGGTCTCCGAGGCCAAGTTTTGCTGACTCACATTCAGAAACTGGGCCTGCTCCTCGCCCTCCGTCTCACGATGGTAAAAGTAGTTAAAGTTGGACACGATGACAGGAACAGGCAGGGCAATGGTCAGTACTCCTGCTATAGCGCACAGCGAGCCAACGATCTTACCCCCGATGGTGACAGGGTACATATCCCCGTAACCCACTGTGGTCATGGACACCACAGCCCACCAAAATGCATCCGGGATACTAGTAAAAAAGGACTCCTTCTCTTCGGCCTCAGCAAAGTAGACAGCACTGGAGAACAAAATTACACCAATGAAAAGGAAGAAAATAAGCAAGCCCAGCTCTCGCATGCTGGCTTTTAGTGTCTGTCCCAAAATCTGGAGCCCCTTAGAGTGTCTGGACAATTTAAAAATCCTGAAGACCCTGACCAAGCGAATGACCCTGAGTATGGCCAAAGAAGTGGCCTGTTCTCCTCCGCCCGCCTTGCCCTCTTTGTTCTCTTGATCATCTGCAAGCTCTGTTCCCAGTGTAATAAAGTATGGGATGATCGCCACAATGTCAATAGAGTTCATCATGTTTTTGAAGAAGGCAGCCTTACTGGGACATGCGAAAAAGCGGACTATTAGTTCAAAAGAAAACCAAATAATGCACAGTGTCTCCACCACAAAGAAAGGGTCAGTGAGGAAATTTGGATGGTAATAAACTGTGGTATTACCCACAATACGAACTCGATCTCTCGGATCCTCTTTGAGTTCTGGTAATGTTTCCAAACAGAATATAACAATTGAAATCAGGATGACCATCACAGAGACTATGGCAATCCCTCGGGCAGGTCCCGAGCTCTCTGGATGTTCAAAGAGGAGCCAGATTTGTCTCTGGAACTCCTTCTCTGGCAGTGGTCGCTCCTCTTCCCTGATAAAGCCCTCATCCTCGCGGAACTTCTCCATGGCTTCTGCACCCAATTCATAAAATTTTATTTCTTCAGAAAACATATCTAGTGGCACATTGACAGGCCTCCTAAGGCGACCACCTGACTGGTAATAGTACAAGATGGCGTCAAAACTTGGACGATTGCGATCAAAAAAATACTCATTTCGAAGAGGGTCAAAGAAACGCATCCTCCTCTTGGGGTTTCCCAGGAGGGTTTCTGGAAACTGGGCCAGTGTTTTCAGCTGTGTCTCAAAGCGCAGCCCTGAGATGTTGATGACCACACGCTCGCAGCAGTCATGCTCCTCCAGGTCATGGTCAGGAGGGTAGGGGTCCTGCGGGTGCCCTGGCAGGGTGGACGTCTCGTCCATGTTCTCAGTGGACACCACAGTCATCCTTCCTGCAGCGGGCGGGACAGGAGGAGGCAGCGACGTCAAATGAACGTAGTAGATCAGAGTGAACAGTCTTTCATTAGGGCCAGGAGCTGCACAGAGCCCCCCAGCCCATCTTCATAACCACAATCATCTTCATCATGCAGCAGGTCTTCTCAGGACTGTCACCTGGAACAAGACAAACATTTACTCTGACAAACATCTGCACATTTGCTTTGCGCAGTACAGTGGTGTCCTCTACCGCAGAATGCATGTTTGCAGTCCCGTTGCGTTCTCTCTGCGCATTTCTCAACTGCAGTATCCACACGCAAACGAGTCATATCCACACACGCACTGTTATGTGCAAGAACTGTGTTAAGTGATAATTACCTGTTTGGAGTTGCGGAGAAGCAAACGCGAAGAATTGGCGGCCACCCACCACGAGACGTCTTTAATACTGTTATCGCTTTACACAAATGTTAAAATATTCATGCACTATGTTGTCTTGGTCAACATCCGTATCCTCATGGTGTAGGTTTCCAGTGGCGATCGGTGCAGCCCGTGTGAGCAGGTCTTTAATCCGTGGCTGGTCAGTAAGATCCCAGGCTGACAGTTTGACCAAAGCATGCTGAAAATAACAGTGGAGACGTGGGGCTAAGTTGCAGCACAGGTGCTAATGGAGCTGGTAGGACTGCAGCATCAGCCGAAGAGCGCACGACAGCGTGGGAGATGCCAAAATGAGAGGTCCTCGGAGAAGAAAAAGTGCCCGTGGATCTTGCAATGTCAGCGGGCGGAGGAGAGCGGGTCCGTCTCGGGAAATTTGGAAGCATATTGCAGGATTTGATCCAGGGGAAGGGAAGAAGTGAGAGTGGAGGAGGGAGGGGCTGGTGCGCGGGAGGAGGAGGAGGGGGGATTCGACGCAATGCAGACAGACTGTAAAACACTCTTCACAGTGGGCCGCTGCGGCGCGTCGATCCACAACAAATCACGGACCTATGATTGATCAGCCTCATGAGGAGACAAGGGCACGATGGCAGACCCTGGAGGTTTACAGAGGCTCCGGGCGCTTTGTCTGTTCCCCCTCCGCCGACACGCGCGCCTCAGTGCTGGGATGAGAGATGCTGCTTTGGTGCCGTTCACGTTAGTTTTAGCATTGCCATGGTAACAGAGAAGACTTATTGGATAACGCAGAAAGAGATGCAGATTGGTCACAAAACCTGTTTTTTTTTGTTTTTTTAAAGGAACAGTGCTTTGCTTTCACTGGCTTCATAAAGTAATTGGCCTATTACAACCCATCCATGGGTGTCTTACCTGCCTGTGACATATGTACAGCTCACCAGACGAACACATAACTTGAGAACTAAACTATTTCATATTAATAAGAACAATGTGGCGCCTGTGTAGGCCTATATAGTAGTTTTGATCCAAAAAGGCCAAATACTACACTATCAATATTTGTACATGTTGACTGTGCCTGGGTAAGGATTAAAGAATAAAATCAATTAATTTAAAGACACAGTGTCTTTATGGCCACTGGGTGATCTTTGGCCTACTAATATATCCAAAGGGGATTAATTGGGAGGATCTGAAGATCTGAATGAACTTATAGTCAATAATGCTTAATTGGAAGGTTAGGGCACTCAACAGTCAAATGAAAAAAGTCCCTGAAAGTTTGTGCCCTTGGATAAAAGACCTTGGACTGGACTCAAGTTGTTCTTCATATTTGTTCTCTATATTTGTCCTGCACTGATTTTGTCACTGTCCTGTTTGACAGCTGGTGCTCGGCCTCCCCGGCTGTTCACTTCAAACTGTAAAAAACATGCTGTCAAATTCCTGAAAACTACATCTACTCTGAATACACGGTTCACAAAGTCATGTAAAAGAAAGAGTGTGAATGAATTACTTAGCTTATCTGGAGACACAATAAACATATGATGCAGGCTTACCCCAGCCAGTGTTGCATAAACTCCCTCACGTTCCGCCCTGGGGTCAGAAGGAGACCTTGTCTTGATAGAGAAAGGGCTTTATGATCAGCCATGCATATTCAGCCAATCTGCACACATGGCACTCTGATGAGCTGGCAGCCTCCTGCTCAACCCATATGTTTTTATAACCTTTGGCCTGGGAGATTTAAATGGCAAAGTGTAATCCACTTTGACTTAGTTGAGTGGTGTGTTTTCTGATAAAGCCAAAGTACAACACTCTTATATCTGTAGCAGGAAAGCGCTGGGCTATCTAGGGAGCAGTCCAATGTATTTTTCATCTCTTATGACCATAGATTATTTTTATCATAAAAAACAACACAGACATTGGCTGTTTTTACAACGTATATCTGCATACAGCAAAATGGCTTTTGTGTGATTATATTAAATTAAGAAAAACGTTTTTAATCATGCAGGAAAAGGACATTTTACATTTGTTCATGTCTTTCCCAGATTATTTTGGGATTTTCAAGACTGTGAGTGTGAATGAACAAAGACAAGATAATTGTCTAGAATTTGTTTGTTTTTAACAACATATTTTGGGAACGAAACATGTTACCCATGCAGATACCAGAAATTCATTGCTAATGTGGCTACGTCTTGTCAGTCCACTGAGTTAGAATTGTGTTCTGTTTAATGAATGTTTTGAAAACCATGTTCAAATCATTGTGAGGAAAGCTCAAGAAATGTGTTTTTTCCCTATTTTTCAAAAGCAAAAATCTAATGGAGATCACTTTGAACTGGTGGCATTTCTTGTTTTATCTCATGTTAAGTGATATGTGCAGGGTGCTGCTATACAAAGGGCGGCAGCCACTGCTCACATTACAGCTGTTTATCCTGCTTTGAAACTGAAGATGGAAGACAAAACCCAGAGTAAAATACCTTTCAAAAGCGAGCTAAAAGTTTAATGTGCACTTGAACTTTTAAGACGGCTCTTACCTCTCCCCTCTATCAGAAACTAATCAGTAGCAGTTATTGCAAACCTGTAAGCTTGGTTGATGCCTTGGTTTCCATGGCTGCATGGGTAAATTAGATGCCATGCCAATTTTAACACTTTATTGTAAAAAAGAAAAAGTTGTTGAATCTGTCATTCTCCAATGGGCCAATGTGCTCTCTCTATGCTTAGTCTGCATTTTGTCCATGCAAATATGATCACTGTGGAAGCAGCCGAGGATGAGGAGGCATGCCACATCTTCATGCAAAGCGACACAGCAGCATCCCCTTTAGCCACGCACGGGCCTGTCATCTCGTGCATCATGCTCGTACCCAAATCAGGGCCAACACACTCATTAAGTGCTTCTCCAGAGGGCTCTAAGTCCTCAGCCTCAACTATTCCTTCTCTTTCCACAGTCATCATACATGCTCTCATTGCTTCTCGAGCCAATCAGACGCACACAAGAAACTATGAAATATTTATTAGCAAAAATGTTAGTGGAAAACATATGTAGTCTATCTGCTCTTTTGTATCTTAAAAGGTCGACACTACTCAAATACAGAAATTGATTCATTTCAACACATAGATACATGATTAAACATTTTAAGAAACAAAATAAAAATATATGTTTATTTTTGTCAGTGAAACTGTTTGCCTGATTCCTCTGCCTAGAGGCTGTTGACACCAGCTCAGTTCAGTAGAGATATCCATAATACACAAGTTGTATTACCTTCACATGATGTAAATCCTTTACCCATTCAACTGGATATGCATCATGATCCTATTGTGTTCTTTTGTTGGTTTATAAATTAATAATGCCATCACATGTCATATACTGTATGGCATTTCCTCAGGGGAGCTGAGCAGCACCTCTGCTGAGACGCTGTGTGGTCAACCTCGGTGGAAGAGATAACTGACCATTGATCATTGATTGATTATGATCATTGATTATGTATATTATAAAAAGGTTTTAATACTTTATGAGATTTTCCCAGCTCAGCAGCTTGCGCTTTGCCTTTAAGAATATTGGCATTGGTCAAATCTGATGTTTCTGTTTTAAAAAGACAAATCTGTCTATACTGACTAGGTGACGAGTCAGACAAAGCGTGGTCTAAAACCCACCATGGACAGCACATAAACAAGAACTGCGACTTTGTCCCGTGCGAGCTCCTGGTCCCCTGGCCTTTGCATATGGAGCCTGGGCAGGCTCGGCCTAAAAGGAGGACGTTGGCCTGCCCTCCTGTGGACTCACCACCCGCAGAGGGATCCATTGGGGATGGCCGACCAGGGGCCAGAGGGAGTCCAGTTTGGAGGACAAATCCAAGGCTGTGGTGCTCGACCATAAACAGGTGCCATTCCCTCTCCAGTTGGGTGTACAGGTCCTTCCTCAAGTGGAGGAGTTCAAGAGTCTCAGAGTCTTGCTCATGAGTGAGGGAAGGATGGACCGTAAGATTGACTGACGGATCGGTGCGGGTGCAGCGATGCGGTTGAAAGGCAAAGCTCTCATTTTACCGGTCAATCTAGGTTCCTTCCCTCACCTCTGGTAATGAGCTTTGGTTAATGACCGAAAGGACGAGATTGCGAATACAAGTGGTGGAAATGGGCTGGAGGAGGTGTGTGTGGATAGGGCACTCTTGGCATCTCTGCTTAAACAGCTGCCCCCGCGACCTGGAGATGGATGAAGCAGAAGGAAATGGATGGATGGATAGTGACTTTTGTTTTCATGTAGTGAAGCAGTGAGTAAACTGAAGGATTTAAGAAGAAAAAAACTTCAGGATGACAAGGGACACTAAATCCCTCCACAAAATCCAACCTTTATGAAAGCTGTAAGTTCTCTGTCCGCTGAGGTCACATTGAGTTCTATGAGGAAAATTTCTGTGTAGCCCACGTGAATTTATTCTTGTTTAGTTTGCAGTACCGCGAGAATCCCCTAAATTGAAAAGGAAAGTCTGAGGTTTACTCAGTGTGTGCGGGTCCCGGCTTAAAAGTGGCCAAAATGACATGCGCGGACATGCTTGCAATACCACCCCGGGCCGATGGGGGTGGACCCGGAATAAGAATTAGCCAATGCTAACATATAGCATTGGCAGACCTCTCGAAAACGTCTTAGGATGGTCTAAAAGCTGGCTCTTGGCCCAAAGCTCCGTTCCACATGTGTGTCAATACTGAGGGGGGTGACGCATGCGCAGATGCGTTTTTTCACAATTTTCTTGTGGGCGGGACCACAGCCAGTTTGGATAGCTCCAGTAAAGCACATTTTTTGGCCCATTTGTTTGAACGGCGGAGATAGGCATGACTACGTCCGTTAATATTTACAGTCTATGGGTTTACCACAGTGTTTTCAACCAGTGTGCTGTGGCATGTTGGTGTTCCTTGAGATATTGTGTGGTGTACCTTTGGAAATGATCCAATATCACCTATTTGGTCAAAATAAGGTGAAAGAAAATATTGTGAGAAGTTTAGAAAACCATTTTTTGAGTTTGCTTGATTTTTGCTAAAATACACTTTGATTAGAATGGCTTTGCATTGTTAATAAAAGACCTTCTGAAAAGAGTTTCAGATAGCGGTGTTACATGTGATTATTGTCAATGAAAAAGATGTGCCACAGCCCAAAACGTTTTGGGAACACCACTCGGCAACTGACCAATCAGGTGCCTTCTGGCCCAGAATTCAACTTTTGCTATTGACCATAGACTGTATATAGATAGACC